TCCTAATTTGTTTTTATTGCCTAGGATTGATTTTGCTATATGGGGTCTTCTCTGGTTCCGTACGAAGTGTAAAATTATTTTTTCTATATCTGTGAAAAATGATGATGGTATTTTGATAGGGATTGCATTGACTCTGTAGGTCACTTTGGGTAGTATAGACATTTTAACAATGTTGATTCTGCCGACCCATGAGCATGGAATATTCTTCCATCTGTTTATGACCTCTGCTATTTCCTTCTTCAGTGTTTCATAGTTCTCCCTGTAGAGGCATTTTACCTCCTTAGTTTAAATATATTCAAAGGTACTTTATTTTCTTTGTTGCTATTTTGAAGGGAATTGAGTCTTTGATTTGGTTCTCACTTTTACTGTTGTTGGTGTATATGAATGCCTCTGATTTCTGTGTATTAATTTTGTGTCCTGAGACTTTACCAAATTCATTTATATCAAGGAGTCTCTTTGTTGAATTCTTGGGGTTTTCTAGGTATAATATCATGTCATCAGCAAAGAGTGAGAGTTTGATCTCTTCTGCTCCCATTTGGACGCCCTTAATTCCGCTCTCTTCTCTGATTGCTGTAGCCAGGACTTCCAGCACTATGTTGAACAGAAGTGGAAATAGTGGGCAACCTTGTCTTGTTCCAGTTCTGAGTGGGAATGCTTTCAATTTTTCCCCATTCAGTATGATATTGGCTGTGAGTTTGTCATATATGGCTTGTATCATTTTTAGGTAAACCCCATCTATGCCTATTTTGTTGAGCGTTTTTATCATAAAGGGTGTTGAATTTTGTCAAATGCTTTTTCTGCGTCTATTGAGAAGATCATATGGTCTTTGTTTTTGCTTCTGTTTATGTGGTGAATTACATTTATAGATTTGCGCATGTTAAACCATCCCTGCATCCCTGGGATGAAGCCCACTTGGTTGTGATGGATTATTTTTTTGGCAAGCACCTGGATTCAATTGGCTAGGATGTTGTTGAGAATTTTTGCATCTATATTCATAAGGGATATTGGTCTATAGCTTTCTTTGAGCCTAGAGAGGCTGTGTGTTTCTAAGAAATTTCCATTTCCTCCACATTTTCCAGTTTGTGTGCCTAGAGGTTTTTGTAGTATTCATGAATTATATCCTGTGTCTCTGTGACATCCATTGTAATTTCTCCTTTATTGTTCCTGATGGAGCTTATTAGAGATTTTTCTTTTCTGCTTTTTTTCGTTAGTCTAGCCAAAGGTGTGTCAATTTTGTTTATTTTTTCAAAGAACCAACTTTTTGTTTTGTTAATCTTCTGTATGGTTTCCCTGTTGTCAATTTCATTTAGTTCTGATTTGCTCTTAATGATTTCACTTCTGCTGGGTTGGTCTGTTCTTCTTTTTCCAGCTCTTTGAGATGATTCATTAGGTTGTCTATTTGTGATCTTTTCGACTTTTGGATATAGGCATTTATGGAAATAAACTTTCCTCTTAGGACTGCTTTAGCTGTGTCCCACAGGTTTTGGTAACTTGTGTCACCTTTGTCATTTAGTTCAAAGAATCTTTTGATTTCCATCTTGATTTCCTCGTTTATGAAGTGCTCATTCAGCAGAAGGTTGTTTAGTTTCCATGACATTGTGTAGAAATAAGGACTCCTGTTAGGATCAGTTTCTACATTTATTCCATGTGGTCTGAAAAGATACATGGTATAATTTCTATTTTTTTTTAAATTGTTTGAGACGTGCTTTGTGTCTTAGGATATAGTCAATCTTTGAGAATGACCCATGAGCTGATGAGAAGAACGTATATTCAGTGGTTTTGGGGTGGAATGTCCTGTAAATGTCAGTCAGGCCCATTTGTTCTAGAGTTCTGTTTAAGTCCATTATTTCTTTGTTGATTTTGTTTGGAGGATCTGTCCTGTGCTGTCAGTGGGTTGTTAAAGTCTCCGACTATTATGGTGTTGTTGTTTATCCATTTGTTTAGATCAAGTAGAGTTTGCTTTATAAATCTGGGTGCACCAAGGTTGGGTGCATATATATTTAGAATTTTATGTCTTCTTGTTGAACTGTACCCTTCACCATTATATAGTGACCTTCTTTGTCTTTTATTACTTTTGTTGATTTAAAAACTAAGTTATCTGTAATCAGCACTGCCACACCCGCTGTCTTTTGGCTTCCATTTGCTTGAAATATAGTTCTCCACCCCTTTACCTTTAGTCTAACTGCATCCTTGCAGGTTAGATGTGTTTCCTGAAGGCAGCAGACACTTGGCTTGTATTTTTTTATCCATTTGGCCAGCCTAGTCTCTTGAGTGGGGAGTTCAAGCCATTCTCATTTACTGAGATAACTGATCTCAGTTATTTGAATGGGGCAGATTTCTATTCATTTTGTTGGGTTGAACTTTGTTGCTTTGTTTTCTGTCCTGAGCCATCATGGTTTCTGGGCTTTGATCTTTAGCTTTTGAATAGATTTACATTTGTGAGTGTTTATTGTGCTAATCCGTGGGTAACACTGTTTTGAGTACTTCTTGAAGGGCTGGTCTTGGTGAATTCCCTCAGTCTTTGCTTATCTGAGAATGTTTTGGTTTCTCCTTTATATACAAAACTTAGTTTTGCAGGGTACACGATTCTAGGCTGGGCATTATTCTGTATCAGAAGAGTGAGAATTGGGGCCCCAGTCTCTCCTTGCTTGTAAAGTTTCAGTAGAGAAATCTGGCGTTATTTGGATTGGCTTTCCTTTGTAAACAAGAAACTTGTTTCTTTTGTCTTACAGATCGTAGAAGGGCCTCTTTAGTTGATATTTTGGTCAGTCTGATGACTGCGTGTCGTGACGTCTTCCTGTTTGTATTGAATTTCCCAGGGGTCCTCTGAGCTTCTTGAACTTATATATGGAGATTTTTACCAAGGCCTGGGAAATTTCCCTGTATTATATCTTCTAATAGCTTATCCAACCCTTGAGTGTTTTCTTCTTCCTCTTCTGGTAGCCATATGACCCTCACATTAGGTTTCTTCGCATAATCCCACATCTCTTGTAGGCTTTGCTCTTTTCTCTTGTTTCTCTGCTCTATCCCAGTGGCTGATTTATTTAATTGGAAGATGTTATCTTCAATCTTTGAGATTCTTTCTTCTGTTTGATCTACCCTGTTCCTGAGGCTTTCCACTATGTTTTGTAGTTCCCTGAATTGATTCTTCATTTCCAGGAGTTCAGTTAGACTTTCTTCATTGTTTCAATTTCTTTAGTGAATTTTTGTTCCAGGTCCTGGAGTCTTTTTGTGTTTTCTTTGTGTTGATTATCCAGTTCTTGCAACTCGTTGAATTTTCTTACGATCCATGCTCGAAATTCTTCTTCTGTCATTTTAGTGGTCTGATTTTGGTTGGTGTCCATTTCTAAGGGGGTGGTGTTCCTCTTTGGAGGTGTGTTTTCCATTTAAGTTTTCATATTTCCAGAGTTCCTTCACTGATTTCTTCCTATCTCAATCAGTTGTTGCTTCTTGCCTTTAGGTTTTCGTTTGAGTAATGACACACCCTGTTTAGTCTCTGAGCCAGTAGGTGGTGTTTGTGGGTGAGATTCGACCACATCCTGCATGTTGAGTCAGTAGGTGCTGTGAAAAGGGTGTACAGAATGTCCTCCCTCTCAGTAGGTGGCACTTGCTCAGAGGAGCAGGCTACACTGTTGTTTTTGTATCCTGTAACCAGGTCTTGTTCCTCTGGAGAGGCACTCTAGTGCCTCAGGTGGTGGGTGGGGCCCTAGGACTTCCAGATGTGTCCTTATTCTCCCCTTAGTGAGGGCTGGTCTGGGAGTGAGTCTGGGCAGAGCTGGGTTGGGTAAGCTTTCCCTTAGGCACCACAAATGCTATTAGCAAGGGTCAAAGTTCTGTTCTCTACTTCTGGGAAAAGCTGTCAGGGAGGGGCTGGAATGGCCCCGCTCAGCCAGAAAGTCTACGTGTGGTGGTGGGGCTGTCTGAGACCTGCAGTCTGGAGCAGGCCTCACTCCTTTCCACCCTCCCCAACTCCGCAGCTTCTCCTTGGCCTCTGCCAGCAGGCCAGACCACACATCACCGGGTGGATGCCTGGGCTGGGCACATAGCCCCCCTTGGGAGGCGGGTTTCCCTCAAGCACACTAATCTGCCCTTAAAGGCTCACATACCTCAGTAGGCTGTTCTGGGCCCCGGAATTCAATCCCTGATCCCACCAGGGAGAGGAGTCTCAGTCCTAATTCACTTACGGGATTCTAAGCTGAGTCAACGTCTCTCAGCCTCAGGGTCTGCCCCGGTCTCCTGGAGTCACTGGACCAGCAGCACCTGGGAGGGATGGCGGGTAGGGAGCTCACAGTCTGAGTACCCTTCAGTCAGCTGAAGGGCCCCAAAAGGGAAGCTCCCGTTCCCTGGCGATGCCTCAGGCTGGTGGCTATATTGTCTCTCTCTACCACCACGGATAGGGTCGGGGGAGGGGAAAGTGTAGCAGTATGGCACCTGCTGTGCGGCTCGGGTCTGTGCACACAGAGGTGCCATGAGGGAGTTGGGAGCCTGGTGCCACATCCACTACAGGCTTACCGCTCACTGGCAGTGGCTGTCTCTGGGCTGGTGGCCACAGATCTCTCCACCCCATGGGGAGCCCACCAGCAGTCTGAGATGCAAGGGAGGGGAAAGTTAACCACTCCACCTGTGCTTGCCCCTGGTCTCCAGGCTACTCGGGAGGTGTCTGCTTCCAGTTCTCCTCCACAACCTCTTCCCATGGAGTCTCCCGTAGTCTCCAGTACCCCTCCTTCCGATCCTCGGCCAATGTATGCTCGTCTGCTTGCTTCTTTCTTCTAGAAACTGTCTTTTTTGTAGAGACACTCTGTCTGGCGGTGTTTCTTGTCCGCCATCTTGCTCCAGTCCCCTACCCCTCCCCCCGTCATATTTTCCTTTTAAAAGGGTTATTAATCATTTGGATCTCTTTATTTTTATTGTTTATGCAACATGTCAATAGATTCGGGGGATATTCCAAAGCTGAGAAAAATGTCATTGTTCCTGACTTTCTTTGGTTTTTCCTTTCACAGAGGATCTTCAAATGCTTCCTTAAAGGAAGAAGAATATAAGGAGCCTTTGCTCTTTCATTCCGGAGATCACTACCCCTTATCTGATGGAGATTGGTCTCCTTTAGAAAAGTAAGTGTCTTTGAAATTTCTCAGTTTCTTAAAGAGGAAGGAGGATATATTAACTTGTTTTTATGTTATTTGACAGTAATGCCTATTTTCCATTTCTTTCTCATAGCAGAGTCACTGAATGTTTACTTTCACATAAATATGAACCTTTTCTCTCAATAATTATTTTGTTCCTAAACTTGATCCAACTTACTATAATAGTGTTGGCTTGTTATAGATCTGCATAATCAGTATAGAGTTTGGCCATCTACAATTCTTAAATTCTAATCTTTTAGTGTCAACTATAGACTGTAACTGAAAAATACAGTGAAAAAAATGTGTGGTCAGTAATGTTTATTCTGCAACAAATCTTCAGGTGTTAGTTATGTTAATTTACCTGTCTTGATATATTTCTTTTTCTTACATTTCTTTTAATTTGTCAAGCTGAGCAAGGCTGAAGGTTTCCTGACTCCCAGGTCATCACATGTCTTTGTTGTTGTGTTTGCAGCACCTATTCCCAGGCAGCATGTCCTAAGAGTGATTCAGAGCTGGAGGTTAAACCCACCGAGAGCCTGCTCAGATCGGAGTCTCACATGGAGTGGACGTGGGGCGGGTTCCCAGAGTCCACCAAGGTACTAGGGTGTACTTACCTGTAGACTGTGTCTGATTAGACTTACGAAAAGTCCCTCTGCCCACAAGTAAAGGAGGCAATTTCTCACTGATCTCTTTTTAATATAAATGATGGTAGTGCCCTCATGTGGTCATAAAAGTAAATCCAAAATTAACATTTTTCATGTTTGGAGTATATGTTTGTAGCAGAAGGAATCAAGCAGTATTTTGTGTTTCTATGTAGTGAATAATAATATTGATAATATAAGGAAATTTTAAAAGGCACCTTAAACTAAAATTTCTACACTGAAATTTTGAATAGGAAATCGATTATTAAGGTTTTTTTGGAGGGGGGGCAGTGGTGGTAGCTCATGCCTATAATCCTAGCACTCTGGGAGACTGAGGCAGGAGGGTTACTTGAGGGTCAGGAGTTTGAGACCAGCCTGCCTGAGCAAGAGTGACCCCCCCCCATCTCTACAAAAAACAGAAAAAAAGTAACCAGGCATGGTGGCACACGCCTGTAGTACCAGTTACTTGGGACGTTGAGGTAGGAGGATCACTTGAGCCCAGGAGTTTGAGGTTGCAGTGACCTGTGATGGCACACTGCACTCCCCCAGAATGACAGAACAAGATTCCATCTCAAAAGAAAAAGATATTTTTTTTAGCCAATTCATAATGAAGGGAAAAAGAACTGAGGAAATACATTTCTTGAAAGAGAAAATGTTTCGATCCTCTATTGAATTTAGTTTTATTTAAAAGATACACATTTTGCTTCTATCTGTGATTGACTATACACTTAACTTCCCACTTCTACATTTTTTAATTCGCCTTTGAAGGATACCCACTTCTATGATATGTTTTAACAGAGCCTTGAGGTGGTCCAAGCAGAGCTAAATTTTCATTCAGTTTTCTCTCTCAAAATGAATATTCTCTACCTCTTAGTATCTGAAAATTGTCATTATTTCCTTACAGTCTTCTCCAGTGTTTAACTTTTCATAGTAGAAGAGTTAATATAACTTTTATAAATACCATGATACTGAACAAAACACAATTGTTTTTTTCCCCACTTCATTATGAAATATTTCACACATACAAAATAATATATTTAATGAATAAGATAAGTTATAAATAAAATGAAAACATTTACCAGCTTAAGAAATATAACAAACACCTTGAAAGTAGTTTGATTTTTAAACAATTTAACTTTTTTAGGTCAGCAAAAGAGAGCGATCTGACCATCATCCTAGGACTGCTACCATTACACCATCAGAAAATACCCATTTTCGGGTAATTCCCAGTGAGGACAACCTCATAAGTGAAGTTGAAAAGGATGCTTCCATTGAAGACACTGTCTGTACTATTGTGAAACCCAAACCCAGAGCCCTGTGTAAGCAGACGAGTGATGCTACTTCTGCTGCAGAACTCCTCCAGCCTCCTCTTGAGAATCCTCAAATTTCATCTATGTTAGATGCGGACCACGTTCCCAGCCCTCCCTCCATGGAGGCTGCCTCAGAATCCAAACCAGCAGCCAAAGTAGACTCGCCATCAAAGAAGAAAGGTAATCGTTTGTTTAATTTGGCATCAGGTACTCTAAATTTAGATGGTAAATTAATTATATCAGTGTTTCACAGATGTGTGATGGCTACCTTTAATGTTTGTATTCCTGGTCAGAACCTCTCGTACTTTCTTACGCTCACTTGTTACTGTGGCATCCCCATTGGGAAGTCCAGTTCCCGCAAGGCTATAACCTCCTCACTACTGCCTCTCAGCTATTGCTACTCAGTATGTTCTTGAGAAGCATTTATTGAGAAAATAAATAAGTTCTAATCGATTAATGAGTGAAAGTAACGGCTTTATCGAGTCATGTCAATAAAGTGAAGTGGAATCCTAAACAGAAAAAAATTGGAATAGAAAAAATATTTTCACTTGAAACTTTGTTAAGGCCAAATTAAATATTTTGCAATGATATGGGATAAAAATAAATGTACCTTAATTATTAGTATGTGTTCTCTTCTTTCACCGATTATTTCTTTCTAAACTAGGTTGGGAGAAAATAGGATCCAACTCTTGGCTCTGCAGTGCTGTCTCACTTTAAAAACACAAGTTTAATCAGAATATTTTTACTATTTAAAAATATAGAGTTAACCATTTATACTTGGTACGGTGAAAGCTAGAACACATATATTCTCTGAACACTGGCCTTGGATCCTACTTTTAGGGAAGTGTGAAACCTTACCTAAAGTTACACATCTTCATACTTAGCCAATCATCTGCTTTCACTTTTTTTTTGTAATTCTAACACCACAAGTTAGACAAGTTAGACTGACAATAAATATCCACTATAAGTATGGAACTTCAAGGTCACTCAAATAATTTATCTAAAATAAAAAGAGTGTCACTGTCAAGGGGTTTGTGGCCAAATCTGACCATTCAGCTGACGGGTGGCTTAACTCAGCACCTGCTCTTTCACCAAAGGCCCGTAACCATTTGTTCTGTTCTAAGACATGTTAATGCAGAAAATCTAGTTCTTCTAGGATGAGTGCTTTGTTTTAATGTAGGCAATAATGACCCCTGTTTGTAGTGCAGGAGCTGACTAGAGTCAGGGACTCTGGCTTCCACCAGTACTTTTGGCCTCCTTCTTTTTACCCCCAACTTTTTATTATGGAAAATTTTATATGTATTCTCTCCACTCACACACATACAATTTTTTTGTTTGTTTTGTTTGTTTGAGACAGTCTCACTCTAGTTAGAGTGCAGTGGCATCATAGCTCACTGTAACCTCACACTCCTGGGCTCAAGCCATCCTCCTGTCTCAGCCTCCCGGATAGCTGGGACTACAGGTGGGTGCCACCATGCCTGGGTAATTTTTTCTATTTTTAGTAGAGACAAGGGTCTCGCTCTTGCTCAGGCTGGTCTCGAACTCCTGACCTCAAGTGATCGTCCTGCCTCGGCCTCCTAGAGTGCTGGGATTACAGGCATGAGTCACTGTGCCTGACCTATGGTTTTTTACTGTTGTAAAACATTTTAAAACAAGTTATAGGCATGACATTTCACCCTTAAATATACCAGGATACCCCTTCTAAGAACAAAAACATTCTCTGCATAGCCCCAGTACCATTGTCATCTTGAAGAATCCATATTTACGTTTCCCCAAATATATAAAAATATTTTTAGCTCGTTTTTTTTTTCAAACCAAAAATCCCATCAAGGTTCATGTGTTGCACTTGATTTTTATGTTTGTTTAATCATTTTTTAAATAGCACCCTACCACCTCTCCCTCTCATACAGCCCCACTTTCCCTGGTACCCCCTCTACAGCCATGATAGTGACCTTTTAAAGAACCCAGCCACTTGGCACAGATTTCTTCATGTTCTGAATGTGGTCTGGCTATTTTTTCAAGGTGACAACTCCGTATTTTCTTAACTGGAAATTAGCTCTAAAATAGTACCATCCAATAGAAATGGAATATGGACCACATATGTAATTTTGAGTCTTAATAGCCGCTTTCTTTATTTATTTTTAAAGTGGTGGCAGGGTCTTACTACATTGCCCAGGCAGGCCTCAAACTCCTGGCCTCAAGTGGTCTTCCCGCCTCAGCCTCTCATAGTTCTGGGATTATAGTTGTGAGCCAACCATGCCTGGCTGATAGCCACACAAACGATAGATATTATAACCTTAATATGTAATCAATATAAAATATAAAAATTACTAAGGAAATATTTTACATTTTAAAAGTGGTTTTATCTATTTTTTAACACATTTTTCATAACCTTTAGACTAGCAGCAGTTTAAGTTGCTTAGTAGCTACATGTGGCCAGTGGCCACTGCAGTGGGTGGGTAGTACAGATCTAGAGGCTTAGATTTTAGTTTTTGAATAGGGGATTGCTTTATGGGTTGTGTTAGGTACTTCATATTTTATCTCATGATGACTCACTTAGTGATGCTGAATTTGGTTATTTAAGGTGCCAGATTTATTCATCTGGCAGGTGAGGAAAGGCTTTCTTTCCTTTTGTAAATACGTGGGTTAGTACTTGAGCACACCATATGAATATTCTGTTCCCTGACAACCCTCCCTTCATGGTTTGAGAGTAATGGCCTTCATTCTCAACACAGGTGTTTGTGTCAAGTTTGGTCATGTGTGTCCTTACCTATAAATATATTTTAAAAAAACTTTATTAAATCTAAGTTATTTAGGGGCTAGGGTTATTTATGTAACAGCAAATGAAAGAATGAGTAAATCGACATGTTTATTGAGCACTGAACTTCTCTTCCACTGGCATGGATGGTTGAGAACCAGTACAACTAAAAAGGTTAATTGACACTTTAAAAAATAAAATCCTATTCAAATCATGGTCAGCCTTATTGTTTGCAAACCTTTGTGTTTTTCGCAGAGTGGTCAGAAATAAAGAATAAATTCTGACCTTTGATTTTTTTTTTTTTTTTAACATGTAAAAACAGGTATTCACAAGAGAAGCCAGCACCAAGGACCTGATGATATTTACCTTGACGACCTAAAGGCTTTAGAACCTGAAGTTGCAGCTCTTTATTTCCCTAAAAGGTAGTGTGTTCCTTGTATATTAAAGGGTCAATAGCTCTGAAATATTCTAGTTACTTCTAGAGCAAAACATTTCATCTGAGGAAAATGACCAAGATGATGGTGTCCCTTAGCTATCACCTTTGTGGCTTCAGGTTTTGGAAAATTCAGAAATAGTGCATGTAGCCGGGCGTGGCTCACGCCTGTAATCCTAGCACTTTGGGAGGCCGAGGCGGGCGGATTGTTCAAGGTCAGGAGTTCGAAACCAGCCTGAGCGAGACCCCATCTCTACCAAAAATAGAAATAAATTAATTGACTAACTAAAAATATATATACAAAAAAAATTAGCCGGGCATGGTGACGCATGCCTGTAGTCCCAGCTACTCGGGAGGCTGAGGCAGTAGGATCGCTGAGCCCCGGAGATTGAGGTTGCTGTGAGCCAGGCTGACGCCACGGCACTCACTCTAGCCTGGGCAACAAAGTGAGACTCTGTCTCAAAAAAAAAAAAAAGAAAAGAAAAGAAATAGTGCATGTGTTGTTTTGACTGTTGGGATTTGAAATTAATAATGACCTATTCATGAAGACATTCTCAATACAATGAGGAGAGAAACACTATTGAACCTACATAAGGGCATATGAATTCAGATAAGCACTTTTTTATAGTCACTAATGCAAATTCCACATGATTGGGAAAGTTTTTTGGCATTTTTTTTAATGTTTACAAAGAATATCTTCACTCCTTTGGAAGAGTCTGGGATCCCAAGCCTTTTCTGAACTCAGACCTGGGTCTAGTGAGACATCCTTCCAGCAGGCCTGCATGCCCCACGTTCCCTGCAGCCCCCGCAGTTTCACATAGCCTCTCTCTTGGTCCCTCATGGTTTTCCCATTTGACTAACTTAATATGATACACTTGGACTGTCTTCCAAAGTTCATTTCCACTCTTAGGGGAGTTCCATTGTAATACTCTGGTTACAAAAAGCAACTGAACTTTTTCTCAATGGAAAGTTGACTTGAAGATACTGAATCATAGGCACACATAATTAAACACTTCTTAATGAGTTGTTGAAAAACACAATTTTTTATTTGGAATAGAAAGATGGAATTAACATAAAGATATTTAAAATATAGATATTTTTAGAAGGTTCTTAAAACTCTTATCTAGCTTTGTACCCTAAATGAGGTTCAAAATAGCTACTTCATTTGAAGTGATAAGTTGAATTTTTTGAGGTAGGAAAACTGAAACTGCTTTTCTTTTTAACAGTAGGAAAGTTAAAGTATAAACTGTCATAGAATTGTCACTTTTTACATATTTTCTAAACCTTAATTTTTTTTTTTTAATTTTTTTAACTTTTAATTTTTTTTTTTGAGACAGAGTCTTACTCTGTCGCCCTGGGTAGAGTGCAGTGATCGTAGCTCACTGCAGCCTCCAACTCCTGAGCTTAAGTGATCCTCTTGCCTCAGCCTCCCAAGTAGCTGGGACTACAGGCATGTGCCATACCTGGCTAATTGTTCTGTTTTTAATAGAAACAGGGTTTTGTTCTCACCCAGGCTGGTGTTGAACTCCTGAACTCAAACTATCTTCCCGTTTCGGCCTCCCTGAGTGCTAGGATTACAGGTGTGAGCCACTGCGCCTAGCTCTTAATTGTTTATTTACATTGGTATTGCTTAGGAAACTATGATGTCTGAGTTTCCCTTGTTAGAAATAGAGTAACTAATGCAATAAGACTTTTATACATTCTACTATAATTTAAATGTTTAGGGTCACTGTCTATCCACTAAGCTTCTTACCTCATGAATTATTTCTTGAAACATTTCATAAGTACTTAAAAGTAGTGAGATGGTTTTAATGCCTATAAGCATTTGTTTTGTCAGGATCATTATCATCTTTAATACTAAATATCCAGTGTTTGTAATTATAGCTAAACCTTGATATAAATCACATCACTCTTGTGGATTTGGTGACATGTTGAGTTAGATGTGCTACTAAGGAGATATTTTGCATTGTAAAAGTGGTTTTATCCATTTTTTAACACATTTTTCATACCTTTGGCAGCAGTTTAAGTTGCTCAGTAGCTACATGTGGCTGGTGGCCACTACTGTGGGTAGGTAGTACAGATCAGATGTGCATAGATGTTGTTATTTGGTTAGGGTAGCACTGACTAGCTCCTGTAACTGATGTAGATCTCATTGGCTTACCACAGTAGAAGTCTGTTTTTTGTTCATGTGGTTACATTCAGTGTTGGGTTTGGGTGGAGGCCTTGCACATAGGGGTGCAGGAACACAGGCTCCTTCCATCTGGAGGCTCCACCATGCCCTTAAGGGCCTAGAGTCCAAGTTTTGCAGGTGACAGGCAGAGAAAGGAAGGAGCATCACACAGGAGATGGCCCCCTGGGGAAGGAGCCACACAGGCCTTCTGTCCATGTGGACAGCTCAGTCATGTGGTCACACCTAACTGCAAGGGGCACCCTTGCCATATACCCCATGAAAAGACTTGGGTGTTGTGAATACATGGCAGTTTTCCGACTCTGTTTTACCCAAGGGTTGGCCTGGCCCCTCCATTCCCAGCCTCACAATAAGTTTTGCTGCTTTACCATTTGCAGTGAGAGAATATTCTATCTATCTTATTATTCTCAATTTTGTGGTGTGAATGTGCATTGCTATTAAGATAAAAAATTTCCAAAAACCTAAGTCTTTGGTTGGTTCAAATACAAAACAGTATTTTAATAGCTTTTCAAACTGCCTTCTATTTACAATGTATCTGTACCCTGCTGCCACCTACTGCTCAAAGTTGAGATTTTTTTTTCAAAAGATCCAGTAACTTCACTGGATCTCATATTATTTTTTTAAATCAAACATTAAAAATGCTAGCTTTTTAAATAAAATAAATGAATTTGAAAATTCTAGAAAAATGTCTCAAATGTGACATTAAATACCTATTCAAAGGTGTACAGTAGTAAACATTCGTGACTAAGATAGAGACTTAAGGTGCCATTTCCTTGTTCATTTTCTCTCAAATTTATTCTCCATTACAAGAGGTTTCCCATAATCACCTGAAACCTGGTTTCTGTGCCTTACCATCTAGAAAAATGAAAATATTAAATAACATCATCTTTGGTTTTGCCCCTCACCTATAAGAACTCCTGTAAGAACAGTTTACTTCCAGTTTATTTCTTAATACCTTTCTTTTTCTAGATGAGTCTGGACTCCCAAGAATTTTCTCATGCTTAATTTCTCTTTTGTTTTGCCTTTCCCCCACTTCCCCTGCCTTAATTTCTGCTTCCTTTTTTGTGAGACAATAGATGAACTTTAAAAAGCCTTTTTTAAAAAAAAAATATATATAGCCATGGACTACATTAATTTTCTACAGGATGTATATTAGTACCACAGCTTTTTCTAGGAAGTTAGGATCAAAAGGTTTCCAAACATCAGATTTTCTTAATCACCCTGTCATTTTCATCAAGGAAATGTAAATAAATACTTACAACTCTTTTACTCCTTTAATTAAAATCAGACAAGCCATAGTTGAAATGTTTGCATTATGGTGAATGACTGTAGTGATTCTGTAACATACTTAGTATATTCACAGTTAATTCCTCAGTAGCACTATGTTAGGTTGTCTTGAATGTCTTTTATGATACGATTTAAAACCCTACCTAAAAAAGCTTTGTCTGACTGTGTCCATCTGCCCCTTTTTGTAGGGGTATGTTATTTGGTTTGAGCTCCCATGGAGCTATGCAGTAAGCTAGAAGTATAAGAAGTTGTAATAAATCGTTTTCTTCCCCATCTGCTGTCCACAGTGAATCGGACCCCAGCTCCAGGCAGTGGCCCGAGTCCGACACACTCTCTGGCTCCCAGTCCCCACAGTCTGTGGGAAGTGCAGCTGCTGATAGCGGCACCGAGTGCCTCTCAGATTCTGCTATGGACTTGCCTGACGTCACCCTCTCCCTGTGTGGAGGCCTCAGTGAGAATGGAGAAATTTCTAAAGGTGCGCTGGGTGGTCATGCTCTTCCTTCACTTCAGAGAGCAGCCTGGTCATCACTGGATTAAAACCTGCCATTTAGCTCTTTGGGGTGTTTAAATTGTTTAGTGATCTTGTTCAAGTAACAGGTATTTTTCTATAATGTCAGACCCTTAGACCGTCATTTGAAGAACCTCTTCTGGTGTGGCTTTCTTGAGAGAGTGTGCCTAAAAGGGTCTGATTTCGAGCTAAGAGGTTGATAGTTCTCAGGCTGCCCTGTTTGCTGAGTGGCCAGGGTCCAGTCACACTGTGTCAATTTTCTCACCTGTAAAGTTAGTGAAATAGTTGTGGGACTGGGGTCCAGCTGCCCTCCCGGAAGCACTGGGCCTTAGATGTGAGTGTAGGGCCCTGAAGTTAGAGAAAATTGTCATTCACAGAAATGGTCTTTCTGGCAAAAAGTGGAAGGATTACTTTCTGTATCAGTCTCGAGAATTGGCCCACAAGAGTAAAACTTGCTCAAGAGTAAGGAAGGAGGGTGGGGCCGAGCAGCTCTGTGTGTGTGTGTGTCTGTCTGTCTGTCTGTCTTTAATGCTTCAGCCTTTGTGATTTTACCTTCCTCTTTCAACTAAACTCGTTAGTATCTTCTCAGTTTGGCTGGTGGCCCCTGATTGATTTTCCTCTAAGGAGAGATTTTCTTTCCATGACTAGCATCATCATTTGTCTTCCTCCTCAGAGGAACTCGAAGGTGTGATGCGGCATACTGGGTGCCTAGACACTTAAAACTGTGTTTCCTGAAGTTTTTCTGTTCTAGGATCACAGGATACTTATTATCCCTCTGTCTTCTCCATTTCTTCATTGTTTATTTGCTTTATATTTTACAAGAAATTAAGAGTATGGTATGGTTCCTCATAAGGACAAAATTAAATAGATCACATTCTTTTTATAATCCTCATAAAGCCTCCATTAACAATAAAAGCTATATGGGAAGGGATGGAAAATATAAAGTTTACGCTTTTATTTTAAATATTGGTATCTTAGTCTGGTAGAGTTTGTTATTGAAAGAGGCAGAAATGGCAAGCAAAAGTAAATAATGATACATTATCTGGAGGAACAATCCAAGTGAGAAATTTCTCTGTTGGCTTGGATCTCTTAGAGTACAGGTTTAGGAATGGGGTATAACACCCATGTAAATTCTCATTCACTCAGTAAGAACTTGGGATTTATTTCTTGACAGACTCTGAGCTACATTCTGGGTTTATTTTTTTTATTCTCCAAGAAATTGTAAGACGTTTTGTTTTTTTTCTAATATAGCATGCCCTTAAAGCTGTAAGACCCCCATGAATATTCCCCAGTTATACAGTTACCTGCCAGTAAAGTTCCTCCGTCAGATGAGAATGGAACTTGGAGTTTTCATTAGTTCTGTGTCTATGTGTCTGTCTATCTTCCCTTTCCTCTCTGGGCACATATATAACCTATTTTTCTAAAAGTGTCTGGGTATCCCTTTCTCCTGCTTGTTTGTGTATTTGTTTTAATTGGGGGAAAGTGGTGAAAGAGGGGGAGAATAGAAAAGTATTTTGGGGGGGAGGGGAGAAAGGGCATTTATTGAAACCTTAAAATCTGTACCCCCATAATATGCTGAAATTTAAAAAATAAATAAATAAAAGCACACTTGTATTACTAAGGCTGAGTCATACTATAACATATATTTTGAAAGAGATCTTGTTATTAATAAAATATGGAATTTTTTCTATTAACAAAAAAAAGAAAAGTATTTTTTCTTGTTGTGGAAAAAAAATCTGATATTTTGCTTTTGATGGATATAGAAAAGTTTTGTTTGTTTTTTTTTTTAAAAAAAGGATTTCTTTGGCCCACCATTTCTCCTCATATGGGGATTTGTGTAATCTCTAACCAAATTGATATTACTATATTATATGTTGCAGAAAAATTCATGGAGCATATCATTACTTACCACGAATTTGCAGAAAACCCTGGACTCATAGACAATCCCAACCTTGTAATACGGATATATAATCGGTAAATTCCTCTTGGCTTTCATAATTCTTAAATACTTTTGCAGTTTTTTTTACAAGTGCTATTTTTAATTGTTGCAGTTTTCCTTGCTATAAAATTTGTCATCTCATGTAAATGAGCTAGTAAGCAGTGACTCTGAAGTGAAAATGAAGCCTCAACTTTATTTTTAAATGAGTCATTGAAATGTTATTATTCTGTTTGATAGATTTTACTCCTCTGTTTGGAGAAGTTAGGCTTGAAGCAAAGATCATTCATGTGACAAAAAATTTAGCTGATCTTCTTTTTATTGAAAAGAATAAGCAATTTTATTATTTCTACTTCTCTCTTCCTTCCCCTCTCTCTCTCCCTTCCCTCTGTCTCGCTCACTTTCACCGTGTGATGGTTTTGTACAACTTCTGTTTATTGCAGTTACTATAACTGGGCTTTGGCTGCTCCCATGGTCCTCAGCTTGCAGGTATTCCAGAAGAGTTTGCCTAAGGTGAGACGACCCATCCTTTGTTGCTTTCTCCAAAGTGTCAACAGCATATAATACTTAGAAAAATTTAAAGTATTGTATATTTGTGTATGTGTATATTTCTGAACTTGGTACTATTCAAAGTCTTATTTGAATTTAATAGAAAAGATCAAAGATCCATATGTGCTCACTAAAAATATCTCATGCACAGACTCTAGGAAATTAGTTGGGCTGCCACTTTTTCCTGTCATTTTTATTAGATATTTATACCCGTTTCTGATTGTGTATAAAAGCTGAGAGGTTTTACTAATTGTACATATGGCTTCCTCTCATTAATGTGGGAAGAAGCATCAAGAAAGAGGTTGATGTGATCATCAGAAGCTTGATACTGGTGTGGTTAGGTCAGATTGTGGCTGAGACACTTCTTATGTAGAACCTCAAGATTATTTTTAATCTGTCCACCAAGAAGACCTCATCAGCCTCGTTGGTCCTCGTAACTCATGAGCACCACGTTTTCCAAAGATAGAGAAATGAGAACTGCCCACCTGCCAGCACTTAAAGTCCTACATAACGTAACTGGACCACCTGGCCTCATGCCACAGAACTGCCACGAAGCTGTGCCGCCATGAAAGCAGGGCAGTGTCCCTCTTTCAGAGATGTTACAGACTCCAGGGGAGTTTGGAGAGCATTACTCACATTCCGTAATAAGGCACTGTCCTGCAGGGCAGCAGTGGAAAATCATCAGGTGCTGTGTGGCCAGTAGATTGCCCACACTAACCCATGCTGACTGTTTGCAGGCCACAGTCGAATCCTGGGTTAAAGACAAGATGCCAAAGAAATCTGGTCGCTGGTGGTTTTGGCGTAAGAGAGAAAGCATGACCAAACAGGTAATAGACCTACAGGTAATTGTTTCTGTGGGCTGAAAGAAGTGAATCTTTGATTTATTCAAAAGACCTTAGTGCCAAGCACAAGAAAGTGGGTCATGCAGTGCTGTTTTACAATAACAACAGTTACCATTTTTGAACAATTATTGCCTACAGCTGCTTTACTAGGTCAGTGTTATCTATAGCCTTTACTATAGGTACTAGAGATATTTGAATTGCCCTTTCACAGGTAAGAGAACTTGAGCACAAAGAAGTCATGTAATTTGATGAGGTCATGTAAACAATGAGGGATGGAACTGAGGCTGGCCCTTGAGTCTGACTCCATAGCCAGTGCTCTTTCCACTTCTCTGCTTTATCTTTCAGATACATGTGAAAGGTTATTCTTTTTTTTTTCTTCATTGTTCCAGTAATATGTTTATTTTTTTCCTTTTATTTCATCATATTATGGAGGTACAAATATTGCTAGGGTTACAAACATTGCCCCTGTCCCCCCTCCCCCCATGTGTCCAATCCCCAGGTGGTGTGCACCACACACGCCATGTAAGCATACACCCCTTTCCTCCTCCTCCCTCCCGCCTGCCCACCACCTGATAAAAAGGGTTTTTTTTTCCTTTTTTGTTTGCTTGTTTTTTGTTTTGTTTTGTTTTTTGACATTTTGGTTACATTGTATATCCTTGCCTCTCCCTAAGAAGGGTTAGAGTTATGCCCTTCCCCTCTAAAATGCTCGCCACATCCCTAAGATTGGATCCCCCCCCCCCCCGAATCCCTGGTGAGCATTGCCACCATTTGAAAACTATAGTTTTAATCAGTCAGTACCAATTTGATGGCGAGTAGATGTGGGGCCCATTTTCCATGTCTTGTGTCGCCTCACTTTGGATAACGGACTTCAGCTTAATCCAGGATAGCATAAACGGTGCTAGCTCACAGTCATTTCTTAGTATTGAGTAATATTCCATTGTGAGCATATACCACATTTTAATTATCCACTCATGAATTGACGGGCACTTGGGTTGTTTCTCAAAAGGTTATTCTCCTCCTGAACAGCTCTAGGTGCAATAACCAGAAACTGCTCTAGCAAGATTCCCAGGGAACCATACTAAATGAGCAGATCAGGTCTTCAGATGAGATCGGGCGCGTTCAGGGTGGTATGGCCGTAGACCAGATCAGGTCTTCATTTCCCAACACTTTCTGAAAAAGAGAGTTAGGGAGTTTCACCTGTTTTTCAAATATCAGAAGGGTAGTCATACCTGAGCCAAGTTCATGTCCACGTCACTGTAGAGGTTGCCTTCCAGTCCCTTCTGCATGTGCTGAGCCACTCCCAGGAGAATGAAGCATCAGTCACTTCTATCCAGCAGACATCAGGAGGTGTCTCTGCCAGGGACTTAACAAGTTTGGGCCAGTTGTATCATATTTTGTGACTTGAAATGGTGCTCTTTAAATTTTTTACTTCTAGCTCTGTAGGCACAGCTTTCTGCATAGCAGCATGTGACTTCTAGGGTTTCTGTTCTTTGATTCAAGGTAGAAAAAGTCTGTTTTTTTGAGCATTTTTAAGTTGTGGGTTCAGAAAGCAGTTTGTGTTCTCTCCTAGAGAGGGCTGCTGTTGAGTCTTGGCTTATCTGCAGGGAAAGTATTACACATTGCCATTACCATCTTGCTGTTTTAGCTGCCAGAATCCAAGGAGGGAAAATCTGAGGTGCCACCAACCCGTGACCTGCCGTCAAGCACAAAGGAGCCAGCAAGTGCCAGGTGGGCGCCCTGTCCTTCCTCCCAGCTCATGCCACTCAAGCTGCTTCTGCTTGGCCATTGCTTCTAAGTTGATCTTGGCCGCTTAGTTTAATTCTTAGAAACATCTTTCTCCTATAGATGTGACAGTAAGTGGCATGTTTGTGCCCCTGAGCAGATGACAACTGCTTTTCTAAAAAATATTATCAGCTTAGAGGAGTAAATATGCCTACGACTGCTTCCTAAATACCTGCCCACGATGGAGCCATGGAATCAAGTGCCCAGGGAAGCCAGGACTGTGGGAAGGGATGTTTAGGGGCGTTGTCCCTTGTGCTTAGACTCCCCTTGCTTCCTGTCAGGTGCCAGAGTGTAAAAGAATCTGAAGAGTGGGCTTGAGTAAATTTCATTTTCTGGGAGAAGTGGCACTCTTGGACGTGTGGGTTGGCCAGCCCTGAGAGGAGTGGCTGCGGTGTGCCGTTCTCGCCTCTGCTCACTTCCCTGGTCTGAGCTTCCTTCTCACCTCCCCTGCCTCTTTCATTTCATGTCTGTCTAAAGCCAGAGGGTTTCCTTTCTTCCTCTTTACCCTCTTCTTTTAAGGGCTGTATAAAATCTTTACTAGTGTGTTAAAATCAGTATAAGCAATTATATTGTTTTCAATTTGTAATTTTGAAAGATATACAGCCTTTTCAACAAGAGTCAGTAGACTTCATAGCATTCACAGGGCATAGCAGAGAATAACAGATTATAACCAGAACGTAACTGCTTGCCAGTTATGAGAGGGAGGAGCAGGCGGCCTTATTAGTTAATGGTATGAATATCTCAGCCATAAGGAGCTGTGGATATGAGAGAATGGCAGAGGAAATAATTCTTCTCTTCCCTAGAAAGGATTTAGGATATCTTTATTGTCTTGATCCTAAATGGAAAACTGTCATCAATGAATGCCCTGTTGCCTCTTCAGTAACTGGGTTGATGTTGAATAGGCCAGCTGAGGATGACTCCTCGAGTGATGAGGGGTCACAGGAGCTTGAAGAATCGATCAAAGTGGACCCCGTCCCTACGGAGCCCCTGAGCCACGGCAGCACAACTTCCTACAAGAAGTCCCTCCGACTCTCCTCGGACCAGATTGTGAGTCCTGTGTGATCTGTGTGGGTCCAGTGGGACTTACTTCAGTAACCGTCTGATCTGATGCACTACTTCTTCTGTCCACCCCTGTCCCCAGCTGTACACGCACTACACGATGTCATGTAAATGCACAGCCACAGTGGAACAGTGACCCTCACCTGGGGAGCCTGCAATGGTGGTTCCTCCACCAACCCCAGACCTCCTTCCTTAGTTTCTGGGAGTGACCCGAGGAAGCAGTATTTTTAACATGATTGCCCAATGAATCTTACACAGCTAACCCAGCACTGGGCCACATACTATCTCTTGGGAATCATAGCAATAGCGAAAGGACATTTTAGACACAGTTTCCCATTTTTCTTATTTATTTCCCACCCCCTGACTTTGACCCATTTTCAGTGTGAAACGGTCTTGCTGGGACCAGTAGAAGATTGCAACCAATGCAGGATTCTCAGGTTTGGAAGAAGAGCAAAGAGGTTTTGTTTTGTGAGGTTCAGAGAAATCCTTGGAATCCTAAAACACTGTTCAAGCAGTGGTCCCTCGGCCCCTGGCGTTGTGAGTTCAGCACAGGCAGGCTGTGCTCGTGCCAAGGAGACCGTCCTGCCTCTCGTTGCCAGGATCCCTAGACACAAGTTATTGTCTTGTAAATTTTTAACTCCGTTGCGAACTGTATATTATCAACTGATTTTCTTTATTCTTATGCTTTTTTAAAAAGGCAAAACTGAAGCTCCATGATGGCCCAAATGATATTGTGTTTAGTATTACAACCCAGTATCAAGGTACCTGCCGCTGTGCAGGGACCATTTACCTGTGGAACTGGAATGACAAGATCATCATTTCCGATATCGATGGAACAATAACCAAGTAAGCTCTAGCCCGTTGTCTTGTGGGAGCAACTCCGCACCCAGGGAGGCACAGTCAGTGCATGGCGGGGATCCCTCAGCCGGGGTACTCGGCCCCAGCCTCATGTGAGCCATCTGCCCTGAGCAGAGTCCACACGGGGTCATTTTATGGAAGGAGGAGATGGGTGGAGCCAGACACATTTAATGTCAAAAACAACTCTTGATAAGATTTACTTATTTGGTCTCTATTCCGAGGTGAAAACAGAATCTGTTGACATTAGGAAAGAGAAAATGAGGAGGTGTGTTGTAAATTACCTCTGAAAACTAACACCTGGCTCTTATGGGACTCCACTGTTAGAAGTACCTCAGTGGTTAGGTTTGCAGGGGACTGCCTCATGGTCTCGTGGTACTGTGGTGAAATTGACTTGCAGAGTGTGCCATTGCTTATTGGCAGCTGATACTCAGCCAAATAGGAAAACTTATCTGATTACTGATGTCTTTTCCTGTTTCTGCCCTCTTAGGTCTGATGCTTTGGGACAGATTCTCCCTCAACTGGGTAAAGACTGGACTCATCAGGGTATAGCAAAGCTCTACCATTCCATCAACGAGTAGGTATCCCTTCTCCCGTGTCACCTTGCTCTAGTGCGCTACAAGGTTGCTTTAAGAACTATAGAAAAATAGCACAAGTCCGCAGTCCCCATAAGTCATGTGCTTGTGGTCCAGCTTTTCCTGGTCTTCTTTCTCACTCCTGTCCCTGTGGCCTCACAGAGAGGTGAGTGCAGCCCCGCTGACAGCAGGCGCCCTGTGTGCCTGACATCGCATGACAGTGTCTTGCCTGTATTTTCTCAGTTAATCCTCGTGATGCTATGAGTTAGAAGCACTACCCACATCTATAATTGCAGCTGTGATTGTCTTTTCTTTTTTTGTTTTTGAGACAAGGTCTCCTCTGTGTCCCAGGCTGGAGTGCTTTAGCACAGTCATAGCTCACTGTAACCTGAAACTTCCAGGCTCAGGTGATCCTCCCAAAGTGCTAGGATGACAAGTATGAGCCACTATGCACACCCAGCTCCATAATTATTATTATTTTTTTTTAGCTAGAATTTAACAAGAAAGCTGATTTTCATTTTTTGGTTTATTTTCTGAGTATTTTTAGATTATATTTCTTTGAGCCAGGTGCAACCTGGAGTCCCAGCTACTAGGAAGGCTGAAATGGAGTCAGGGGCAGTGAAGATTACCTGAAACCAGGAGTTGGAGACCAGCCTAGGCAATATAGCAAGACCCAGTCTCTAAAAAGTAAAATAATTGTGTTTCTTTGAGTAGGCAGTGTATGCATGCATGAGGAAACAATTCACCCATGCGGTGCTCTCTCTCAAGGCGCCCTTTGAGGGGAAACAGTGCCATGGCCTTTGTGGGATCCTTATACATACATTACATTCATTGGAAAAATTATGGCTGTGCCAGTTGCCTGGGCATAATTTTGCTTTTTGTCTTATGAATTATTTGCATCTTGCAAATTATCTTTATAAATAAGATCCCTTGTGTCTTTCCTTTACAGTAGATAGTTTAAAGATAGTCCAAGGTTTTTGTCTGTTCTGTAACCAGGCTTTCATGGACTAGTCGCTGAGCAGGTCAAATCCATACTTACAAACGGAGCATACTCTAGTTGTGTGTGTGCTCCATGCTGGCTCATGGAGCAATGAAATCTTTGTAATCCTAACTGGTTTCCTGCTAAATCCAGGGATTTGATTTTCACAGCAAATGAAAGGAACTTCATTTGTATCCTTCAAAAGAAAAGTGTTTTGTTTTGTTTCATTTTTTTCCTTTAGCCAAAACACATGGGCTAACAGGATGTGTTTTCTTTCAGGAATGGCTACAAGTTTCTGTACTGTTCGGCCCGTGCCATTGGCATGGCTGACATGACCCGGGGCTACCTGCACTGGGTCAATGACAAGGGCACGATCTTGCCCCGGGGCCCTCTGATGCTGTCTCCCAGCAGCTTGTTCTCCGCGTTCCACAGGTACCTCTCTGGCAGGCCACCTTTGTAGCTTGGGCAGGGCTGGGCGCACGGGGTGTGTGTGAGGATGGACGGCAGGGTGCCGTGCCTCTCAGTTCTTTAGCTCCTGTGGAGAGTCCTGATGCGTACCCTTCACCTGGTCTGTGTCAGACACAGTAAAGAAAAGTCAAGTGCTAGGACAGTCAAGTTTTCTCCTTCCCTAAACCCTGTCACTCAAGTTTTCTTATTCATCAGACTGGCAAGGAAATAGATACCAGTTACAAAGGGTTAAAGTTGGGTAATTGTGAGCACTAAAATTTTTCAGAACCACACACTAGGGAAAACTACCACTCTGAGTTTTGTGATTGTATTTTAATTTTTTTTTCTTAGGGAAGTGATAGAAAAGAAACCAGAGAAGTTCAAGATTGAGTGTCTAAATGATATCAAGAATCTGTTTGCTCCGTCCAAGCAGCCCTTCTATGCTGCCTTTGGAAACCGTCCAAATGTAAGTGTCTCCTGGGCTCTGGATTCTGGTGTGGTTGATATTTAGAAGCATATGCTTTTTAGGGTGTAGCTGTGTCATAATTATCAAGCCAATTTTGTAAGCAAAATGAGATGTCTGTTTTGCGTAGGGGGTTTTCACTTTATCTGTTCCAAATTTCTATAGCAATTGGGGAGGTCCCATAAGTGCAGTTCTGCCCCAGAACTTGTAGCTTTCTTTTGTTTCTGTGGCTTCAATTCCATTTCCTCAGGCAGCTCTGACTCATCATCTGAGTGGCTGTAAGCCATGTCCCTGGATCTGCCCCGAGCAGGGCCTGAGGGCTCACCCTTCACTAGCACTTTCCACCTGCTTCCTTCATGGGGCCATCAGGCCTCAATTGTGGGAGGCATTTGCCTCCTGGTCCTTCTGCTTCAAGGCCCCTGGCTTCTCCTGTATAGCTGCTGATTTTCAGACTCTCCGAGTGCCCTCTGGGTTTGGCGCCACCCTCTACTTTATGTTTATGTGAAGCTCAGTTTTGGTGGCAGAACTGCACTGTGCCCAACTCCACATGTTTTCCATGGAGAATCCGAGTGTGCAGTACTCTGGCTCACAAGGAGCCTAAGAAGCGTCTCCTGATTTCTTATCACTGGAATCACCCTGCTTGATGTTTTCTTCTGCAGGATGTCTATGCTTACACACAAGTTGGAGTTCCAGACTGTAGAATATTCACTGTGAACCCCAAGGGTGAATTGATACAAGAAAGGACCAAAGGAAACAAGTCATCGTAAGTGCATCCCAGTTCTCAGCCCAGCGCCCTGCAGCCAAGGGCACGGTTCAGGACAGACAGATACTAGCTGAGATCAGGCTTAGGTTGAAGGATCAGAACTCCATCTCCTCTGTGGGTGTTTTCTCTTCCAACATAATGGTTTAAGGGGTCCCTGGTTTCCTAGACTTGGAGGAGGACATCAGCCCTGGGACAGGACTTAGGCTATCTCTGAACCTGCCTATCTAGGAAGCTGAGTAGCCAGCTTCATAACCCATAGTCTGTGTCTCTTCCCCAACCTTCTAGGTACCACAGGCTGAGCGAGCTTGTGGAGCACGTGTTCCCACTTCTCAGTAAGGAACAGAATTCTGCCTTTCCCTGCCCAGAGTTCAGCTCCTTCTGCTACTGGCGAGACCCGATCCCTGACGTGGACCTGGACGACTTGGCCTGAGGTGGCATCTCCATGGGGCGGCAGGACTCGGTCTTCTCACAGCAGGGGAAGGTGACTGGTCCTTCTGCCAACCTTGGACACTAGCTTTCCCGAGCAAGGCCAGGGGCTCCTGGAGCTGGCACTGCCATCCTCCTTCGCCTTCCCAGGCTGGCTGCTCAGGCTCTGCGGGTCTGCAACTCAGCGCCCGGAGGGGGAAGGGACGGGCTTGGCCTGGGCCGAAGGCCGTGCTCTCCCCCTTGTGGGCTGCACACATGCTTCCTGTCAAGTTGTGTGCTGGGTGCTCCTTCCATCGCATAATTTAAAAGGAAGAAAAAAAAGCTTAAAAAGAGTGGACCAAAACATTACACAAAGTAAAGTGTTATAATTTCCACTGGGCAGTTGGGATGGTTTCTCTGTGGAACCAGAGCTTTTTTCAGTGGGTCAGGGTCCTCTGAACTGTGGCAGGTCCAGTTAGTGATATTGGCCTAAACTACCTGTGCACGTTTCGCCTTTGGGCACCTTGTTTCCTGCTATACTGAATGGGACAGCTGCTCCAGTGAGCCAAGTTGGGCGGGACGCCCCCAGGATCCATGCATCAGAGCCTCTGAGCCTGGCCCCGCAGACTTGGGCTTCTAGAGGAGAAAATCCCCTTAGATCATCTCCTCATCTATGACTAATACACGATGAGAGACCTTTAAGTTATTTCTTAGATCTCACCGAAGAAGAGATCCTGCAGGTATTTGATGTCTGTAATAAAAGTACTAATGGTGAGAAGTTGGGTTTTAAAACAAACAAAAACATCCCAACAACTGTGTTTTCACAGAGGCCCCAGAAATGCAGATATACACTTGCACTGGGTCCTGGGAAGAGGACCATTCCCTCTGCCAGTTGCCTGGCTTAGGTGGACCTTTTGGTGTCTTTCTTTGGGACAGGATTTCTAAAATTCTGTGGTCCAGATTTGCCAGGGAAATGCAGTGAGGTGAAGCTTGCTTGAAGGCCACTGGTCAGCAGCATTTAGCTTTGGCATTGGAATCACCACCCTGTAATAAAGCCCATGGACACCATGCAAGAGAGGGGAGGGGTCTTAGAGCTCCTGTTGAGCATACCACCCCTCTGCAGTGTCCCCAGCCCACGTTCTGACCCCTTCAGCTGTGGATTCCTGTGGTCAGCGGTGCAGAGGCTGCCCTGTTGGACCCATGAGGGTGTGGGGTGCCCATATGTTTTCATTGAAACATACATGGCAGCTCCATTTATTGACCTGGTTGTAATGAGCTCATGTCAAATGTCCACACTAGACGGTACCAGGGAAGGGTTGTGTGCTGTCTGCCCCTCCAGGGCTTGTGATTTGCTCGGTGTTGGTGGCCACTGCAATACTGACACCAGAACTACCAGAGAGGAGAATTTTAGGGGACCAGAAACGACCCCCAGTCATAGTCCTCCATCGTTGAGAACACAGGAGATGGAGGTTCCTGAGCAGAGTGCTATTGGGAAAGTTTCATTTGCAACTCTGTGTGTCCCTGCAGTGATATTTGGGAGGCCTCTTGTTTTAGTTTGCTTTTACCCAAAATAATACTGCTCTAGAGATACGGAATAGGGGTGGTTATTTTTCCAGATTGGAGAGTTGAAAGTCCATGACTGATTGCAGCCATTTTTTCCTAGTGCTGTTGGGATGCAGAGACAATGTTTAAATCCCGTGAGCACAATTCCCAGTGGCAAAACCCAGGAGGCGCATGTTCCCAGAGAAGGGACAACACAAGCTTTCTGTGGTGCGAACCTCGCCCCCTTAAATAGTTCACAGAACTGTTGTTTAATAAGTTTATTTATATATAGTAGATTAGGGATCCTAGGTTATGTTTGTATGAAGTTCTGCCCAGTTAGTGAGTTAAAATTCTAGTAGAGCAGCCATGTAGCCACTTTATTTCATAGATGCCATCACCATGTCCTCTCGACTGCCTCCTATTCAGAGGAGGAACGAGAGCTTTATGTGCTTAACCTGAGCCTAGTAGGACTTCTTTGCATATGTGTGGTACCGAAATCATAATATACATCTTCTTTAGTTCTTTTTAGGTTGTCCTTTAAAGAGTTTTTGACTAGGTAGTTTGTTTCTTTTTCTTGATAAGCTTTTCTCTTTGGACACATGGCCTTGTTAGAAGGTGCAGTCTAGGACCTGCATCTCCTGGCCCTGTGTTGAGAGTGGCTGGTCCCTCTGCCCTGGTGTCCATTAGCACTAGACTTTGTTGCTGCAGATTGATCCAGTGGGTACATAGGCTAATTAATGTGAGTCTTTTTCCTTGTTTAAAGGAGTCCTCCTTGCTGAAAGTAGATGATTACTTTTGCTGTAATGTTAATGAAAGTTTTAAGTTTGTGCTGAAAATCCATTGCCATTTGGTACAAATGACATTTGTTCTTTCTGTGAAAGAGAGATGCCCTCGAGTGTGTTTGTACACAAATCCTTAGGATGGTGAATTGAAGCATCACCCTCACTCTGTCTTCAGTGCTGGGTGATGTCGCAGGGAGATTGTAGGCAGATTGGGCTCTACATCATTCTTTTGGTTGCTCCGTTGGTGAAATGGTCCCTTTCCTTCTTTGCAGTGTGGTCTAACTCTAGTATTTGCTTTGGTGTCCAAGTGTTGAAGCTTGTCCTGCAACATCTGCCTCTTGTCGGGCTGTGCGAGGCGCACATGTGGGCCTGGAGCATGCAGGCAGCCTCCACGTTTGAGTACTGTGTTTCGCTGTGTTTCAAAACATCTGCATGGTTTTCAACTGGAAAAAGAAAAAGCTTACGTGTGTGATGTTCTAAAATGAAAGCTGCTAAAAATCCCAGGGAGAACAGCTGAGGAACAGAGCTGGCGGGATGACTGGGAGGTGCTCTGCCCCAGCACGGCCTGCCCACTGTCGGGCCGCACGCAGCCCTGCGGGTTTGCTCATGAGCGTTCAGGCATGAGCTTTGATGGGATAAACAGAAAGAAGTCAGCTCTTTTACTTTTTGCAAGTTGGTGAAAACAAACTCTTCCAGGGAATTTTATCTTTTTTAGTATCATCCTATGTACTCTGGGAAGCTTTGTTTTCCCAATTTTTGGAGCTTGTTGGGTTTAACAAAACTGGTTAAAAATTGATTTTCCTTAAAAGTGCTCTTTCCAGGTGAAAACTACTTTTTGGGTTTTGTTTGAAGGTAAGGAATGGAGGGGAACCTTTGCTCTTTTAATTTAATAATTATGTCCAGCCTATGATGAGAGAAGTATTTTATTAGACAACAATGTCACTAATACGTTTTAAGTTGTCAGAAATTAATTGTAAACATCAGTACAGTCTCTTAGTTATGGTGAAGACAATTGTCTTAAGATGAATGGCTCATATTTTGGTGCAGTGTTTGATGTTCAAAACAAAATGTTACAAAAATAAACATAAACTGAATGCATTTGCCTGTTTCCTTTAGGGGGCATCTAAACCATTTTCTCTATACTCTTGCCAGAAATTGATAATTTCCATAAATTAGCATTTTGGTCTTTGCTGGCGCTTAAATGTATCAATAGGAGGGACTTCTTTTAGGTGCTTATTTTTAAAACCTGACTCCAGAAGTGAGGCTACACCCAGAGGAACTAACCTCTTGCTTTGTGTGTTCTGCCAGGAGATGACTCATTCATACATATGTAATTTCTTCTGTGGTCTTGCTGGTGTCCACAAGGCTGTGTTTAGCTCCTACTCCTCGGCCCTCCAGAGTGCCCCTGGGAGTCTTGTCCAGAGCCCACGACAGCCCACCTTTCATTAAAACCTTCCTCAGAGTGAATACAACTCAGCAACCCTGATGTTTTCATCAGATAGGCAAAGTGATCAAAACCCACATCTGACACATTATTTAAATGAGCATCTTTTTATCCTCTCAGATCACTGGGCCCCTACCAAATGCAGCATATGTTGAGCATCATAGATGACAGTCCCTCCATGAGCATGTGCCTTCAAGTATGGAAAACTCTTGCATTTGATGTTGCTTTGCCATGGCATGATGGCGGGGTGACGAGAACCATGGGTCTAGAGCATACTTTGGGAATAGAATGGAAGGGCTCACATGGAGTTTGATAACAAAGGAAATGGTTTTTACCCAGAGCGTCTTCTAATGCTTTAGAGGAGCAGTGGGCATTGCATCCCTGGGCTCAGGGGCCTGAGTGCAGCTTCCTTCTGTTGCACCCTTCACCCCTTGGAGTTTGCACATGTCCTTCCTTTTTCCTTCCAGTTTATAGAACAGTATAAGGAAAACGTATGTGTATGTTAAAAAGGTGGGTATGGATATAAACAAAGCCATGTTTCAGAGCTACAAGCATGGAGTGTATCTCTAATCACAAATACTCCTCTTCTTTCAAGCAGCAAAGACATAAATCGTGAGAGGCCCTCTGAGAGGTGAGTCATTTGGGAAAGCTAGATCAGTGTGCCGATCTGAAAATAATTTCTAGTGTACTTTATATTGATTTGCGTTCTCTATTGTAGGTATCATTTTGTTTTTAATAATTTAAATGAGGCCATTTGCTATTGTTACATGGTGTATAGGGAGTGGACTATCCCAGTCTTATCTCTGTTTACATTAAGTTCCTGGCCTTTTTCAGCAACAACTCCTTGATTTTGGAAGTTGTGACCATGTTCCTGATAAAGCCTCAGGGTCTGGTCATACCTCTGACCCGCAAGCTTGCTACTTCAGGGAGCTGCTCTGAACCCCACAGCCCTGAACTCAGCTGACCCTTGTTTTCCTGCTGTACAGAAAGATGGCCTTTCCCTTTATAAAGATGCCATCTCCTAAATGGGCCGGAATCCATCTTTCATCTTATTTTATCTTAAAGCAGAGGCAAGATCAGCTTAATTGGGCTTATTCTGTTTTGCCTGTCTTGGATACACAGAGCTAAAATTCACCTTTGTCAGTAAATGAGCCAAGATGCATTGAGAGAGGATGACCAAGTTTTACTTGATGATGCTCTAGAGAATCGTCTACCGAGTAGGAAAGAAAAAACATCATATCATAATCTACTCTCTCTCTGGTTCCTGCTTTTCCAGCTACTGAGCATTTGTCCCCCTTGGCACTAAGGTCTTCTTAAAGGGAGTGTGAGGAAAGAGGGCAAAAGCATGTGCACGTGCCAACTGGGTTTTCCTGAAAATGCTCGGCTGCATTGTTTTTTTTCCATGAGTCATTTCTAGGATAGCCAGGGATACTCTGACAGCTACCTTTGGCCAGTTCCCCAGCTATAGAAACAAAAGCGAGAATGCCATTCTCCCTCCTGCTTCTGGACAAAGGTCCAAATTTTAAAACAGTAAAATAGGAAACCTCTAGTTCTTGCTCACTCTCCCTAGCTGGAGGAGGGGCATAAATGAGAACTCCTTAGTGTTCAGTGGCCTCCCTGTAGTCTCATTTGCTAACAGTCCTTGGAACTCAGAGCATTTTTGCAGCATAAGAGCATGGTCTAATGGCTCAGTGCAGGCCAAGGAAACCGGAGCTGTTGTATCTATTGTCCAAATCTTGCCGTGGGGTATGTGCCTTTCCCCAGTGATACCTGATTGACCAGATAGGCCTTGCCAATCTGATTAGCAAAGACCACCTTGAGCCAAGGGTGCCTGGAGCTTTCCATGGCTGCTAGTGGAGGATTAACATGTCTGGGCTTCCCCTTAGAACAGAACACGCTCACTGTGAGAAGACCCTGCTTTCCCAGATGATCTCAGTGTGTGATCAGTTTTATGTTGGGCCTCTTGTTGCTTAGGAACCTGAGAGTTGGCCAAGCTGTGTCTGCTAGAGAGCTGTGCAGTGAGGCGGCAGGGACTCGGTCTCATCAGCCTGGGCAGCTGCTGATGAGATGCGAGTTTCCAGCATCCCCTGGAGGAGCCTCTCCAGCTGCGGGATCACGTGGGGGCCTTGACCTCCACTCACATCTGGTCTGTCTGTATAAGCCAAAAGCAAAACCCAAGTGTACATCTTGGATGCTGAGGAGTAACAGTTTTATATTTGAGATTAGTTTATTCAAGATTATTTTCTACACAGCCCATAAACAGAAAAAGCCAATTACCTTTCTATAGTTGGTTTTTTTTTAGCAATAACTTCCAGTCCATAAGGCACCAGGCTTAAAAAAACTTGAAGTGGTTTTACATCTTTATTGGCGCTCCCTGTCTTTGCACTTGAATTGTACATGCCATTTAAGGAGCCAGCAAGCTTCGTGAACAGTCTCTAACGCATCCCCGTCAGCAGTCCAGGTGAACGGGAGAGTGCTGGTGGCAGTGGTGGACCAAGTGTGGGACAGCCCAAACTGTAAACTCAGAGTCCCTGTGCGGTGGCATGGGCCACCTCAGCACTTCAGTGTTTAAACTTTTCTCCTGCATGCAGTGTAAATACAGATAGATGGTTGGCCTCAGCGTTGCTCTCCAGTAAATATCAGCCAGGGGTGTCTTAGCCCTTAGCCCAGCAGCTCTTCCCCCTCCATCAGCAGGACACCAGCCCCCAGCCGGCCCCCCTGGGGGAGCAGGTGGTGCCCAGGAACCCGTGGAGCGAGCTGGAGGCTGGGAAGATGCCGAGGAGGATCTGGCTCATGAGCAAGAGGGCCTTTCCAAGTCTTCCAGTTGTCCAGTTAGAGTGACAGAAAAACCAGTGGCCACACTGACCTTGTGCCTCACTGCCTGCCTGGACGCCGTGAGGTGTGGTAGCCCGGACAGCCTTCATGCTGGGGGAGGTGGTGGGGGCAGAAAGCTCTAGACCAGTGCTCCAGTACGTACCGAAACCAAATATATTAAAGCTTCAGAGTTTTTACAGCTCTTTCCCCGCACCTCTCCCCAGCACCCTAGAGGTGGGAAAGGAAAGGATATAGAAACACCCCACTGAACGTGGAGTACATTTCGTCAAAGTCTGTGTGCGCCAGCCTGCCCCCGGTCACCACGATGTTGACACCGTCTCCTGCCTTCAGGTGCACGACGAGGTGGAAGGCCCCAGGGCCCCCGCAGGTGTGCAGAGCCCCAGGGGGCTGGTGGTATTCCAGGAACTCCCTCCTGTACCCAGCTGTGTGCAGCTGGGCCACGCTGGCATTGGACACAGACAGCACCGCCTCCACATAGGCATCTCTCTCAGGGGTGAGGGTGGCGGTGATAAGGTAGCGCCCGTCGTATGGAGCTGTGAAGACCCCTGGGAGGAGGAAGGCAGACGTGTTCATCTGACACCATCACAGCCCCTGCCACGGGCAATAAGTTAACCTGGACGTGGGGGGCTGGCCATCATTCTAGCATTCGACAGTCCTGGGCAAACCGAGACAGCTGGTCCCCTGCCCGCAGAAGGCAGGCGATGGGGAAGCTAGTCGCTTTCATGCTGCACCCATCTGCAGGCACCCGTGACTGAGGCCACCTCAGCTGCATCCTGCCACTGACCCAGGAGTGCCTCTTGGGGCATTTCTCCCCCACTAAAAGCACTTCCAGCCAACTTAGAATCAGGCTTAGAGGGCTCAGAGCCTGGGAAGGGCCCCAGGCCAAGACGACCTCACCACGCCTGCCTCCAGGCTCTGCCCATCGAGCCCGCTTCTCCCCGGCCACCCCTGATCCTGGCAGGGAAGCCCACCCGGGGGACACTGGGAACCTGGGGTGAGTTCCATGCCCACTATCCTCTCAGGCCCCCAGAGACAACCCAGGCCTGGGGGCCAGGGCCGTGGACAGACTCTGAAGTGATTCTGTTGCAGAGCATGAGGCCCCGCCGGGGTGACTGTCAGACCCCAGAGAGGCCGTGGTGGGCTGGGGCCGGCAGAGCCTTCCTAACAGCCAGCCATGCACGAACAGCGATTCCCGTGTGAGTGCTGAATGAAGACTGGGGTGTTGACCTCACGACTGGGGAATGTCACACACCCATGCGGCTTGCAGCCTGCAAGCTGGGCACGTTCTGTGTGAAACCCGTGGAGCTGCACACAGCAGCACGTGTCCGCTCGGCATCTCCAGAGTGGGTGTCCTCCCGCCCGGATCCCAGGAGGCTGGACAGCAGAAGGAGGGCCCCGCTGCACGTGGGCAGAAGGAAGAGACGACACCACGGGCCTTTCGCTAACCTGTGTTAGGGTTGTAAACGTCCCCGTCGTTCACCAGCACTTTGTTAAAGAGGACGACGCCCCCGTCACTGGGGAAAGGCTTCTGGGTTAGCCCCGCAGAAAAAGACACCAGAGAAGGCACCGGAACCCCTGGAGCAGAGAAAGGACACGAACGGGTTGACGCTTCTTGCGCGGTTCTGTCCTCTGGAGAACGGCCTGTGGGCCAGGCCCGTTTATCTCCCCTGAACTTGGGCAGCACATCCCACCCCACGTGCCGGAGCGCCCCTGCCTGAGGAGCCTGGGCAGCGGGACAGGCTGTGGCCAGGATGTGAGACGGGAGACAGGGACTGAGCACACATGGTGGGGGCGGGGCCGGGTACGCAAGGGGACAAGTCTAGGGAGCTGCTTGCTCACCCACAAACCAGTAAAACCTGCACCCCCGGAAGCTCATCAGGACCACACAGGGCAGAGGCCCACCCAGTGCTCCCCGTGGGAAGCTGGAGCTGGGATGACGTAGGAGGGAAAAGTCTTTGTCTTGGGCCTGACCCTGGCCCGCTGGGAGCAAACCTTGGGGGGTTGGTCCACTGCAGTGGGCAGAGGCCTGTCCCAGTACTGGGGGGGAGGCTGGGCCCCAGCTCGACCCGTGTGAACTGCACTGAGCAAGGAGGCGGAAGTGCAGGGGAGAGGCAGAGACCGCAGGGAGACCGACCCCTCACAGACGTACCTGGGGAGGCCACAGGAGGTGACCTGGGGTATCCTGAAAAACAAAATGGGAATGGAATGTCAAATGAGATCCTAAACAGCAGCTCATTTTTCTGAGTTTTTTTTCCTCCCTACTCCTCAGAAGCTCAAATTGAGTCTTCGTTACTAAAGGACAGACAGAACAAGGCACCCACTCCGAGCTGGAAGCCACCTGCCACTGCTCCCTCACTGGCCCACTCTTCCCTGGCAGGGAAGAGGGCGCTGAGTCGTGCTGGATGCAGGGATAGGAGGAGAAAGATGGGATGCTGGAGCCTTGGGGCCCAGGCCAAGAAGTGTCAGACTCACATGCAACCAACACGTTTGCCCTCTCACAGCATTATCTGTGCAAGGGCTTTGCCTTCAACTAGACTGAACGCGGTATTTCTTAAGTGAACATGTGGATAGGTGGGTGGGTGGATGTGTGGATGAACACACAGATGCATGCATGGCTGGCTAGGTGCACACATCCGTAGATAAATGGGTGGATAAGTGGATGAATGGCTATATGGAAGGACGTGGATTCACGCACATGTGGGTGGTGGGTGCGAGAAGGAATGAAGGAGCGAATGAACAGATAGCCCAAGAGAGTATACATGTCTGTGATACATGGAACTAACACAAGACAAACTGTTCTCTTACAAAAGACTGAATATCTGCCTAAGAGCTGTGATCACTGCAGCTCAGGTTGGCTGAGAAAGAATAGAAAAAAGAACTGGTGAGAGCAAATGTGTGTCTGTCTGCTCAGCAGGCAGCCGCGGGCTTCGGGGGCCACAGGTGCACCAGGCTATCACTGATGGGGCACCCAGATGTTGGCAGGGCTGGGGACGGTCCCCGATGGTCAGCCTGGTCTGACCTAGAGGGGGCTGGTTTGCACTGTCCTGTGGCAGATGACATGACCTGCCCCAAGCAGGGTCATCTGTGTACACTTTACAGCCTCAAATCTGTTTCCTCATCTGTAAAATAGAACTAATGCTGGCTGCCCAGGGCTGTTGCAGGAGCTCAAGACCAGGTTCGTCCCCAGCATGTGGTGGGTTCCCTGTCTTGTTCCTCCTGCCTTCACTCTGACACCACCGTGACCACGTCAGTGATGGTGCTGGTGTCTCCCACGCTAACCAGGCACCGAGTGGGGCTTTTCTCCTGAGGTCTGATTACCACCCTCACTTTGTAGTTGAAAGAACTGAGTCTCAGAGAGGCCAGGAAGCTGCCCCAGGTGCCAAAGCCCAGGATGACACACCCCTACGGCCTCACCACTTGGCCGTGTGACCTGCCTTTGCTGTTACACAAGCTGCCAACCCACGCAGTTTCCAGGACCCTTCCTGCTGGGAAGATGGACGAGCTGCCTGTGTGGCAATTCTCTGTAATTTATTGCACCGTCTCTGGGCTGCTCCAGCCTCTGCCTGTCCGATTAGCATAAATTGGTCCCTCAGGCCTTGGCGCCCTTGGAACTTGGCCCCCAGGGTGAGACGCTGGACGGCAAAGGCCCTTCGGCAGACCGAGGTGCAGCCTGCAGGTCCGCGAAGTCCCCGTGTGCCCTCGCGCAGCTGCGCCGGCCTTACCTGGTGCGCCCGCGTAGCCCTCGGCGCTGGGGATGGCGCCTTGTCCCGTCTGGCCGTCCACTCCCTGGGGCAGGCCTCTCCCCGACACGCCCATCCTCCCCGGAGGCCCAGCCTCGCCGGTCTCCATGATGACCCCCGTGGAGCCGGGCAAGGAGGGCAGCCCTGTCCGGCCAGGCCGCGCCGGCAGGGGCAGCTTCTCCTCGGGGGGCCGAGGCCGCAGAGGCCTCTGGGGCAGGACAGGCCGCTGGCCTGGGTGCGGCCGTCCAGCGGGGTCCTCGCGGGGCGGCGGAGCACCGGGCCGCGGCGGGGCGGGCTCCAGCTCAGCCGGCTGGGTGGCGGCCTCTGCCGGCGACGGGGTCAGGGACCTGGGCATCTGCGGGGCCTTCCCTCGGCCTGGGGGCTGGGGCGCTTCTGAGGGCTCCTCGGCTGCGTGTTGGGAAAGCAGAAAGGAACACATGGGGTTAAAAACCTCGCGCTGCACCGTCCGGTTCCAGTCCCGAGTCCCCTCCGTGAGGCCCCAGGACCGAGCGCCACGCTCCTGGCTGTCTCGGGGCATCGCCCCGCCAGGGCATGCGGGAGCAACACGACAGCTCCAGCTCGCTCGGGCACAGCGGCCTCGCATCCCGAGAGGCGGGATGGGTCCGGCTGCCCTCGGGCCCTGGGGAGCTGCTGAGGGGGCCTCGGGGACCCGTCTCAGGGCAGAGGGACTTGCAGCCTCTCTGCGTACACACATGGCTGCACTCTCCACACTGGCATCACTCTTGGCTCCGGCACCCAAAATGTCCTGACTTCACGGCATGCAGACACCACAGACGTGTCACAGATTACTGAAAGGGACCTGATACCACCTCAGTCTCTATAACATCTTAGTCTTAGGGTCACCCCTGGCAGCCTTTCCAGCTGCCTGCTGAGGGACACTGCTGAGACCCCAGGCTGGCCCGGGAGTGTCGGGGAGCTCAGGCTGCCTCTGCGGCGGACACAGGCCCCAGAGGAGCGACGCCCTTTCCTTGGGCCACAGCCCCCACGTCACCAGCTGAGGGGATTTCCAGCAGCAGAACCTCCTGGTTCACTTTTCCCTGCCTCCTGAGCTGGCCACCTCCACACAGCCGGGAGCCGCATCCCTTTCCTCCTTTGAATCAGTTTCTGGAACCAGCCTTCCAGAAAGCCCTTCCTGACTCCCCCAGGGCAGCTAAAAATAGCCAGGACTGGTTGAGAAACCACTGGCAAAAGCAAAACACCACCCACCTCCTCGATCAGTCTGGTGCTCACAATGCCCGAGGTTCCAAAGCTGTGCAACTACGACCCGACACAATCCGTGACTGCACTTCCACCAGCCATCTCGTCTGGTTTTGTTTTAAAACTCACTAAGGTAAATACGGCAGCTCAAACACATGCTGCCCCCACACCCACAGAGCCAGGACGCCTCACGAGAGGTTATTTCTCAAACAGCCTTTCCAGAAAAACAGTTTTAAAAACTGGGGTAAAGGGGGTGATAGGGTGGTAACAAGAGAATTATCAGAAAAATGATTCCCAGAACTGAAGAAAATGAAAGGTCCCAGCACAGTTATTGAATAAAACATACAAACCAAGGTATATTCGGAACACTGAGAATAAAGAGAAGATATTACAAGCTTTTGAGGGAAAAAAATATAAAAAGGCATCACCAGGGTTCTCAACATAGTATTGGAAACTATAAGACAAGAGAACAATGTCTACAAATTTTGAGGGAATATAATTATCAACCTTGAATTCTATACCCAGCCAAAATATCTATCAATTATGAGAGTAAAGAATTCCTTTTAAGACAGGCAACACTTTAAAAAACATAAAAAGCATTATCTCTCAAGCACCCTTTCTAAGAAGCTATTGGAAAATGTGCTCCACTGAAACAAGGGAATAAACTGTGAAAAGGAGACATAAAGGAGAGCCCCACACACGGGGAGAGGATAAAGACACCTCCAGGACAGTAGGGAAGGCAGGCTCAGATTGAAAGCCTCAAAGCAAGTCTAGGGAATAACCAGCCCAGATTGGATCAGGAAGAACAAGAATTCCAGGAGGGAGGTCACCCATTTTTTAAAAAATGGAATTGACAAATGATCTGGTATTTTTTATGATATAAAAAAATTGTATTGAGAGGCTGTTTGGAAGGTAGAAGACTCCAAAATACGTACATAAAATCTAAGCAAATAACGTGACACTACTGCTGATTCAGAGACAAGAAGAAAAGCAGCATGACCACAGAACGCTATTTGGCTCAGACTGCATCGGGGTTGAGTATCGATTTGCTGTAGGGTACCTGTCTTGGGCACAGGGAGGAGGGGAGCCAACAGACACGTCTAAGGTCGATGAATCAATTTAGAAACAGGTGAGCATCGAGGCGGAGAAACAGCCGGAAGGGTGGCCCCGGGCCGCCTCTGTGGCGTGAGAGGGTGACGGGGAGGGGCGGTGGAGCTGGTCCTCAATACAACCTTCCCAGTGCTGTTTTGCTTATTTTTATAAAATTTAATTGTAGAAGACACTCACTGAGGGCCTGTTTCCACCCTTCGCCTCCAATCCTAGCACGCGTGAGCCTATCCCCTCCCGCCCAGGCCCGGGCCCTCGCCCTGACCTCCGGCTCTTCCTGCACCTGCTCCATGCAGCGTCACTCCCGTCCTCCCGTCCTCCCGTCCCCCTCCGCACGGGCTCCTGCCTCTGACCCGAGTGCCGAGTCTCCATCCAAAACCCGGACAAAAGAAATGCTGTTCCTCGGCCTTACAACCCTCAACGAAGCACAGTCGGCAAAGTGCCTTTCAAATAGCAAAGTACAGGCCCCCCAAACGGCTCCTTATTGCCCTCCCTATCCCCAGCAAACCCTTCAAATCAGCCCTCTTGCTCTGAAAGAAATCCGCCCTCTTCTCCCGGCCGCCCATCCAGGCGCAGTTGACTCTCCCTTCTTTATCTCCCCCTCCCTCCCTCCCTCCCTCCCTCCCTCCCGCATAGTTGTGGCTCAGGCCAGCTGATTCTAATTTTGAAATAGCCCTTGAATCCTTCATCCACACCTTTTCCAGAATGCTCTTTAGAAGCTGTTCTAATCGTATTTCTTGCCCCTAAATCTTCCATTGTTCTCCACTGCTCATAAAACCAGACGGAATCTCCTCTGACACTCCGCGTCCCCACCTCCTCCGGCCGTCGTCAGCGTCCGTGCTGGTGCCCAGCCCTCCTCGGACTGCCCTGGCCTCGTGCCTTTGCTTGCGGGGTGCACGACCCCCAGATGGCCGCTTCTGCCACCCTCGCTGGGAGAACCAGCACCCAGCCCTGAAGCGGGGTTCAAACACCACCTCCCCACGAAGCCATCGCACGCCTGCCCTGGATCGGGAACCGGCGTGGCCTCTAGGGGCTCCTTCAGAGTTCCCGTCTCCCCTCTCTGGCCGGGGTGAGTGCTTGGGGACAGCATCTGAATTGTCTTCCAGGAACCCCCAGGGCTCAGCACAGGGCCCGGCCGGACGCGCTGAGCAGCGAGCTGCTGGGTGAGTGGAAGAAGGCTGCGTGCATGACAGGCACCGTGGGCCATGCCCCCAATCCCGCCCACCATTAAACTGGGCACCCTAATGGTGCCAACAATCCTATTGGGGCAGTTCCGGGTCATCCAGGACAATGAAAGTTCTCCTTCTTATATCCACCACTCCCTCAGCACCCAGACTTGACACACGAAGGGAAAGGCAGAGAAGACTCAATGGACGGAGGTACTGCTTGGGCCAGGCATCCTCAGCAAGTCTGCCGGGCCGTGGTGCCTGTGCAGTGCAGGGCCGGACGCCCCAGAACAGCCCGCCCAGCGCAGCAAAGACGACAGAGAAGCTGGTTTGCTTTGGGTCGCTGTCCCCAGCCCTAGCCCCAGCGCCCGGCCCAGCCCCAGCATCGAGGGGCTCCAGACGCACGCGTTAGTTATCCCCAAGTCCTGACGAGGACCAGACGCCACCCCGCTCAGTCTGGATGGACGCGTCCCTGGCAGCTGACTGCGCTCCGAACCGAACATGTGTTTCCAATTCGGAGAACGGCCATTTGAAATGAATTCTTCAAGCCAGCCAAGGCCTGCTCCCCGCGTCAGAACTCCCGAGGAGCAGTGGGGACAGACCAGCCACGGGCCCGGCCACCCGCCATCGGGGGGGCCATGCTGTCGTGAGCAGGCAGGCAGGGCCGTGGCCTCGCCGTGGGTGACCCTGACACCCAGGTGTTAAAGGCTACTCTCCTGGAAAACTCTTTGCAAAAGCCAATTTCAGTTTTACTAAAACAAAGACTTTACTCAGACGATCCCCAATAATCCGTGAGGCCGATCTGCTACAACCCGGTGCCTTGCAGCTGAGTGAACAGCCCTGCTCCAGTAACGGGGGTCTGGGTTGCCTGTGACCAGGGACGCCTGCTGTCCTCCCACGGGAGCCCTGAGGGGCTGGCCCTGTACTGGCAGCCAGGTGGGGCTGGTCACAGGGCCGGAGGCTGTGGGGGACGCCTGGCACCAGCTGTCGGGGTCTGAGGTTGAGGCCTGGCTGTGGGAAAGCCGCTGAAACGTCCTCGTCTGCGCAACAGGCTGCGTCTGCAGTGCCCTCCTGTCCCCCAGGCAGGAAGCACGGATGTGGGTGTGCCCCGTGGGCTGCAAAACACGGTCAGGCACGGGCTTCTGTGCGGACGCGGGCACCGACCTTCCCTGCAGGACACCACGGCCGCCAGAGTGGCCTACAGGTGGGCAGGCAGGAGGAGCACCGGGCTGGGGTGACTGACGGGACATCTGGGTTGTTCTCTTGACAACACCGAACAGTCCTACGCTGAGCAAACGGCCGTCTGAATGCTGGGCTTGCCTTCGGGTGGAACGAAGAGAATAAACCTCAAGTTTGTGAGAGGGAGCACCGCATGGGAGCACCGCACCACATGGGAGCACCGCGCGGCAGAAGGGCCCACCCTGACGCCGGGATAACAGCAGCCCTGACGCAGCAAGAGTGACGCCCCACGGAACAGGGCTAAACAGGAAAACGGTCCAGATTTCTCCAAAGTACAGACAACAGAACACTGAAACACAAACGCAGCTGTAATCGCCTGTTAAAATCTGCGGCGATACAGTCCGGCTGGAAGGGAGTTTGCTGTCACTGAGTCCCACAGGGCTGGCGGGGGGGGGGGGGGGGGGCTCACCTGGCTGAACATCAGCATCCCTTGGATTTTTTTTTTTTTGGTAGAAAATTCATAAGCCGATTCTAAAATGTATATGGCAATGCAAAGGAGGATCCACCTGATTTTGAGACTTACTATTAGTATGAAGCTACATTACTAAGCCATAAAGAGAGACACCAAAACCCAGCACAGAAGAGGGTCTGCGCATGGGCCACACGCACAGCCAGCCTTTAGTCGGCGCAGCGTCAAAGCCACGGGTTTATTCTGTCTCCTCTCCCCGGTCCCCTTTT